CCAAATACAGAGAGTAAATAGTCCTTGTCGTAACGGTTGTTGTTTAGATAAGCAGTACATCTGTACGTTCCGTTGTTCTCAGATGTAGCTTGGGTTATTCTGAAAAGATAGAAAAATATTAGAAGACATCTGTCAAAATATAAAAGCTCAGTTTACTCCTTACTTTATTCAGACAATGGTGTACCTTACATTTAGTCAATTGTTGGCCAATAAAAAAAATTAACAATCAACACAGTTCACTAGATTAAAGATTTGTTATATTCTATATTGTTGGTACCGTAACTGAAATAATCTTTTCTTGGTAAAGCTAAATTAAGGGGTTGGAAAACTGTGTTTTGATAGATAGAAATCAATATAGGACACAAATACTGAATCATACAACACCAAAAATATCTCTGACGACATTTTAGCACCTGGTGATATATTCACAAGTGTATGGACGTGGAATGTATTGCTAGATTTGTGGTTAGCGTCTCAGACTTCAGTGCGAGAGGGGTGAGTTTTGATTTCTGATAATCTACAAAATTTAGGGTCACTACTTTGTCTTACAATTATTTGTAACACATACACCATAATAACACAGGATTGTTTGGCTAAATCACAGGTACTTTAAATTTGATAGTTTTTTATGTTACCTAAGAACTTGGCCGCTCTGCCGAGCATTGGAAGGCAGACTTCGTCCGTCACTAAGAGACCAATATTGCTTGACGTTGGACGGTCCGAGCACAGTACATCGTAAGTCAACTGTATCTCCGTAATGCACCTCTCGCTTGCTTGCCTCGATTTGCAGCTCAACCTCATTCAAACCTGCCAAAGTATATGTTTATCTTAACAATATTTACATTTACATTAATTACAAAGTGTATAAAATTTTGATAAAGTTAAATATTTAGAATGAAATGTTGATGTGTTGATTTACAAGATAGGTTCATGAACTGTAGATAAAAAAAGTTGACGTTATATTATTATTTGTAATAGAAACAAACAATGTAAAATATTATATTGACCACAATGACAATGATACCCAAAGAAAAAAAAAATTGAACTGTGTTATGAACACGTAGGAAACATTAAAAAGATGAAGTGAATTGGTAGCCACAAATATGCGTTTTATGTAATTTTCATTTTACAGGAGTACAATTTAAAACTATGTTAACTGATGATTTGTTAATGATAAAACATAGAGATGGAGAATTGCTACAGTGACGCATCTTAAGAGTTTTCATCACCTATGAAAGTGATGAGTACAATGACTATTGTAATTGCACAAAGGTTATTTACATCTGAAACGAAATAACATGAAAAAGAAACCAACATTTTCCCCATGCAATTTAGTGAAACATTTTTATATTATTAGGTGCACAACCACAATTTAGATTGGTTAAAAATTGCTTTACTGGTTATAAATCATGCAGGTACTTGGAGTTGGTTTTTAAGAGTTTACTGTAGATACTGAACAACTAAGTATTTTAACATTGTTTAAAGTGAGTTGGCAATTTTGTCACAATTACTGTACTTGAATTATCTAGCCACTATAAGTTTAAGGCTGAAATTACACCTTTTAAATAAAACCATTATTCCACCAACTCCAAGGGTAAAATTTCCCCATACACTCCATGAGTTATATAATCATGCAATTAAAAATAATATAAGGTGATAAGTTCATGCATGGATTTTAAGTAAATATAATCCAAAGTGGTGGAATCATACCCATAGAAGAATTCTTTGACGTCCTGGCTAAAAGTATGGCACATAGAACACACTAATAGACTAGTTTTAATTGATTAGAAATGATATTTTTATGATATGAAAACGAGAAAGGAGTAGAGTAAAATTAACAGATAATGCTAGGTTTTATTATTGACTTGTGATAAACCCCACAGTAGTTTTAGAACTGTTAACGTTTTACACTTATTTTTAGCAAATAAGAAAAGAAAATGTTTAAGCTGCACATTTTTAGAGTTATTTACAGGATTTTTATATCAGGAACTGATTAGAATAGAAGAGAATGGGAGAGATAGTTATTAACAGTGATCATGATATGATACCACTAAGATGTTAATTATTTAAAAATTGAGTGATGTGAATTAATTGCGATTTAGTTTTTGCAGTATTTGTCTACTAAAGTCGGGACCACATAAGTTTGCGGTTGAGGGAGGAGCCTATTTACCATATGGTTTTGTTGAATGAACCAATGAGAACGGTGCGGTGTTGCCAAATCTAATAGTACCAGCTGATTTGAAAATATTGCTTTGTACATTTTAATTTGTGTTGTCATTGGCGATGTGGCAACGTCGCACGAGCCTTGTCTTGTGATTGGCTGCCACCAACTGCAAACTTATGTGGTCCCGACTTTAAACATAATTTTAAACATAAAAACATACATTTTCAACACAAATTTCTTTTAATGAAAAAAATTTAATAAAACAACATTTTAAATTTAAGTTGATGGATATTTTGAATAAAAAGTTAAAATGTTTATTTTATTTAATTTCATACGTTTAATCATGTTATAATCGCACACAAAATTATAAGCTAAAGGGAAGAAGTTCAGTTGTAAATAAATTTTAAGTAGGCCTACTAAATATTTTGAACTGCTTAAAAAAAAAAAAAAAATAAATTTCATTCAAAAATGAAAATGTGTAAGCACTTACTAAATTTATCAGTTCTCTAAAGCCTACAAAATAAGACAAATCTTCACTTATTGTTTTAGTTTTAATACTTCCTATGGGAGTAAATTATGATTTTTAAAAATCTCTCAGCATATAAAAATTCTTTCCCTTGCACATAGCACAATAGTAGCAGCCAATGATTTCCCGTTTACTTCTGTGCGATGCAGTACACAATACAATTCCTGCTTATCCGAACCCCACTAATCTGAACTAGTGCTGATAACCTCGCCTCTATCGTACTACCAATTTACCACTTAATCACTGGCGACCACTATTGTGCCCATGTGCAAGGGGTTTTACAAGTTACTGTTATCCAAATCCAAACCAACCACGTCCAGGTCGTATCTGACATGATGCCTCGTCCGAGCCGTCGGAACAGTCTGCTCGTCCGTCGCACACTCTAATCAGAGGGATGCACAGCGGCATGCTGTTCTTACATGGTTGCTCGTCTGACGAGCACGGGCCTCTCTAGCAGGCAGCAAATCAATCAAACCAAATCAATACGTGCACTCTACTTAGAATAGACGGCAAAGGACTTGTTTTGATCAGGTCAAAGTGAAAAGTGAAATAATAGTAGTTGTACAACCTAATTTACCTATTGTACCATTTTAGTTGTTATTAGATGTTTTTGATAGGTACGATGAATCAATCACTTACCTAGATGTCTATGGGGTTTTCTTCTAAAAATCAATGACATTCACAGTGACCCAGGTTGAAGTCTTTGAAAATGTGTACTGATTTTGTTGAATTAGAAAACAGTTTAAGAGTCGGCTTACTCACTGTTTTTTTTTACTTTTCAAGCTCGGGCCTTCAAGGCCCTTGTGGACTGGCAAATGCATGGTTTTATGAGACTGTTAAATGCTCTTAAAAACAAACAAAATGATTTTAAACTTTGTAAGCCACAAGTTGATTACAAAGTAAAATATGAAAGTGTGTTGATTCTTCAAAGAATTTAATGTTTATGACTAAATACATAATTTATATGCTATCTGATATTTTTAAATTTTCCTTTTAATTTTGGTAGATGAAATATGAAAATTGTTCAACTACTTATTTTTGTCTCCAAATAAAAATTAATTGAGTCGGATTTGTTTTAAATTGAAATCAGGGACTATTCAGTGACTTCCTTACTTAGTGACCTGTAGTCACTCTAGTGTGCATAATGATGTCCTTTGCCGTTGTTATTCTAGGTATCGTGGTTCACACTACGAGCACTTAACTTGCCAAAAGTAAAGTGTTAGAAAGATTTTAATTTGTTAATGCTATTGACCAAAGGGTTACCCAAAATAAGGTCAAAATTCTATAGCCTTTTAAATAATAAATTTATCTATTTCTTTGCTGTAGGATATCTTCAGATAAAATTAGATTTTAGTACTTTTTATATTTATATTTTGCTGTAAATCTTAGAAAAATAAATAAATTCTACAAATTTGGTTTTAGAACCACATTGGTATTTGTAGAAGTTTTTTTTGCAAAG